TAGGTTATGCTAATAAAATGTATAAGAAAACGATTATTAAAGTGTAATACTAAAAAAGGTAGTTTCTTTTTATGTGTTGTCTTAAACTAAACCATTTTATCTAATTCTTTTTTTCTAAAGATTTGTCATGATTTTTGATAATTTTTTAATTTTAAATACTCGACATATTGAAATGAATTTATTTGTGTACAAATTTGGATAATAGTGACGCAAATCCAAAGAAAAGATAAATGGATTTTGGCGAAAGAAGCATGAACACGACGAAAAAATATACTTCAACAAAGAAGAGTGCAGAACGGTTAGTTTACATAGTTTTTTTTTTCTGAAATCGATTTTAAACATATATATCACTCATTATTATGTGAATGAATATATTTTTTCTGTTTTTAACTTTTATAGGTTCTATTGTAGATGTTGACAGATTGTCATCAATGTCAAAATTTAGATCAACGTTAATAATAATTTATTGGGAGATGTGACAAATGGTATCTATATATTTCTTTATGATTTAATATATGACTATGCATGGCATATATCAAATCATACAAATGAAATAAATAATATAGCTGAGCGGATTGACATCTTATTTTTTAATTCTTAAAAAACCAATGTTTGTTTCGCACCAAGTGCAATCGTCAATTTGTATATCAAGGACACCGAAGAACAATTATGCAACAACTTCGGCACAATTACAAATGCATAAAAGACGAAGATTCAATGATCTCTCTTCTATATCACGTATCGTTGATTTCACCGAAGGTAGTAATTCTACAATCATATCATTCATTATACTTCTAACATAGTATATTATATTTAGCTATATTTTTAACCATTTACTAAGACCAAAAATTTAATAGGGTTAAAAACAACATGTGTTCGACCCCGTGCGTTGCACGGGTTAAATACTAGTAAGAACAAAAAGTGGGACTATGAAAAAGTGAAACGAATGACAATAATTAAAATAAATAAATCCATGAAAAAATAGAAAGAAGTCACCCTAAATATGAGCGAAATGTAGAGGAAATATCAAAACAAGAGCTTCGTGTTTTTATTTCAAAATAAAAGTTTGCACTGTGGTAATATGGTACTTTATATGGACATTTCACAATAGTTTTTGGTAATATATATGATCATGATTGGCACTGTATATGCATTTTAACTTCTAGTTTAAAGAATAAAAATATGGAATTCTTATTTTCGTATATTTTCAGTGTTTGAATCCTATTCTAGTTTTTTCCCAAAAATATATGTTTTTTCAATAGGACACGAAGATGTTTTGTTTGAAAAAAAAGATGATAATAAAAGAGTAAGTTCCATAAATGGTCCCCAATTATATATAGTTTTCCATATTTAGTCCCCAATTATAAGATATTCCATAAACTGTACTCAATTTTTTAAAACTATTTGACAAGAAGTCCTTTCCAACAAATATGACAACATATTTTGAGTAAATTGTCAAAATGATCCTTTTTAATAAGGTTTTTTCCCAAAGTAATCCACAATAAGCAAAAATTACTAATGTGGTCCTTTATAATTGAGATGTGTTTCTTAAAAATTCCTTTATAAAAAATATCTACTAAATGACAGTTAAATAAAGGGTATTTCGATATTCTTTATTACCTAACATATGAATAAGTCCTCAAAATAATTTTTTTGAAGAGCATCAAAATATCCTCTATTTAATTGTCATTTAATAGGCATTTTTGATAAAGGACTATTTAAGAAACAATAAAGGACCATGCTAGTCATTAATAATTTTAGCTTATTGAGGATTACTTTGGAAAAAAACCTTACTTGAAAGGATCATTTTAAGAATTTAGTCAAACTATTGTCATATTTGATGAAAAGGACTATTTGTGAAATAGTTTTCAAAAATTGAGGACTGTTTATGGAAAATCTTATAATTGGGGACTAAATATGGAAAACTACATATAATTGGGAACCATTTATGAAATTTACTCATAATAAATTAATCTTTTTAATATGATATAAAGGATATTTTAATTTTAAAAACTTAACTATAAAATTATATTTTGATGAAGACCATTTAAGAAATAATAAAGGACTAGGTTAGTCGTTAGTAGTTTTAGCTTATTGAGGATTACTTTGGGAAAAAACCTTACTTCAAAGGATCATTTTGAGAATTTACTCAAACTATTTTGTCATATTTGGTGAAAAGGACTATTTATGAAATAGTTTTCAAACATTGAGGACTGTTTATAGAATATCTTTTAATTGGAACTAAATATGGAAACATTGAGGACTGTTTATAGAATATCTTTTAATTGGAACTAAATATGGAAAACTACATATAATTGAGGACTATTTATGGAATGTATTCATAATAAATAATCTTTTTAATGTTGAAGGAATTTGTAAATTAGTGTACTGTTGTGTAGATAGAATTTACTTTATATTGTGTAATAAGTTGTACTGGCCTAGCCTTCTCTTGTAAAACCCTACGAAGCTCTTGAGCTATTATCTCCCACAACCTTTATCAGCACGAGCTCAACCCTAATTTTTTCCGTCCGCCACCCTCTCTCTTGTTCTTTTCTCCGCCGTTCTCCTCTGCGATTCCCCATCGCAGTATCAAATCAGAAGGAGAAGCCTCCTTCCCAATCACCAGGCGCACGATCACAAACAGATCGCAGCACCAAAAGACGAGGCGCAGACGACCGAGAGGAAATGAAAACCTATCGCCGTTCTCCTCCGTTTCTTCCGTATCTGTTCTTCTTCGTTTCACGCCCCTGGACCAGGGACTCCGGATTTCTACAACGATTAGTTGAGTTCCTTTCATCAAATTTAACCGAGATTGAGAAAAGGAACCGGGCTTAGCCAAATTTCAGATCTCCTTTTCCCAATTTCTGATCCCAAAAGTCCAGGTATTCTATGAATTGAGTTTCTGATTTTCCTACTTCTCCAAATTGGCGATTTTCCCTTTGCTGCATGATCAATTTTTTTGTTATATAATTACCATGCCTTGTGTTCTTCTCAAGTACTCCGTATGTGTCAAGATGATTTTTTTTTCTCACAAATCTGCAATGCATAGGGTAAAGAGAACTGTCCCAACTATTTTTAATTTGTTACACTTTGCAATTATGTGTACATCTACATTTTTTTTAAAAGTTACATGTGTTTCAAAACAAAAAAAAAACGTATGTTTTGGCTTCAAAATGGGATGTTTGACACCACCTGGTATATACCTTTACATGGCTTCAATTTTCACAGTTTGTTTTTTTCCCTGCATATGAATAATTACTACTCGTGTTTAAATGCATAGTATTTTATTTCTGGATATGCACATAATAATTTCAATAACATGTTACCCTATATTTTATAGTGGTCATTGAAAAGTCCAGTAGTTGGTTGATTTTTTTTGTCATCGTATTTGGGTGGTTTGTGTTGAAAATATACACTGTTTTTTTTGTTTGCTATGTTTTCAATTGCATTCTGTCAAATTACATTCTATAAAAAGCCCAACCAAAAAAGAAAAAAACTCTACAATAGTTTCAAAAAAAAAAAAATTTTTTTTTGAAACTTTCAATGGAAATGTTTTTTTTTAATTGGGCTAATAATAATAATAATAAAGAACTATTAGTTCTTGAAAGATATTGTGCAAATTCCTTCTCTGATGACTTTTGCATAAACGTAAATCTATCATCTTTCGTACATGTGCATAAGTTTTTATCATACGCATTTTGATATTGATGTTTAATCCATACTTGTTCAAACATCAATTTATTCCTCGTATGTTCTTGAAATTTTAATGAGGACATTTTTTATGGAATAATGCTAGCCTTGCATTTTGCATAAAAGTAATATCATACATTGACTAATCGAACCCAAATATGTCATTTTAGACTCAAAACTATTTGAGTTCTGTGACTAGTACATATTGGTTTTGATTAAGAAACTTCGCATATAACAAAAAAGGAGAGAGCATGAATTATATCATAAAAAAAACTCTCATTTTCAAGATATCAATTTACTTATGATTGTTTATTTGCATTTTATCTAGAAATGACTGATCCACTAGACTTGAATTTGACATCTTGGACTCAGAAGGACTTGAGTACCACCGTAAGGACTTGAGTACCACCGTTGGGTTTCTGATGTAGAAATGACTTTCGTGGCTAAAGACTTCTCTGCCACACTTAAAGACCCCAGTGAATTGAAAATGCACCATTAGAAAGAGTGAAAGCAAATGCTCTAATGTTCCTAAGGCGACACATTGACCCAAGTTTATGTTGGGAATATCTTTAGTTGAAAACCCCCGAAGAACAGTGGGGTGCCCTTAAGGGATGCTTTGGGAACATTCATGATACTCTGCTCGCAGAACTGAATGTGCAATGGAATGAAATCTGTTTGCTAGACTTCCTTCATTCTCTCCATGCATGATGTTTTTGGAATAATTCCTTTTATGTTTCTGCAAATTTTCCTAAGAGTGTTTTAAAGACTATTTATTGTGTTTTTAGACTATGTGGAATTGTTTTAAATTTGCATTCAATTTAAATAAATTAAGGGATTTATGCCCCTATTTTTTATATACATCGTGTGTTTCAGTTCTATATGCAATTCTCTCATTACACAGGCATGAATCGAGGTGAACTTGAGTGCTTAATAGATAGTGGGACTACCCATACCATCTTGCGAAATAGGCAACTCTTTGTTAACTTGGTAGCCTATAATTCATCTGTGACAACAATGATTGGTTCGTCACATGTAATTCAGGGACGTGGTACTGCCATTTTCTTACTCCCTAATGGTACATTGATTAAAGCCATAAATGCTCTATATGCACCTAGAGCTACTCGAACGTTGTTAAGTTTCAAAGACATCCGTGACAATGGTTTTCATGTTGAAACTCATTGCGAGAATGGTATTGAATACCTTTACATTACTTCTAATGAATGCGGAAGAAAGCGCATCTTAGAGAAGTTTAAGGGTAAGAGTAGTGGACTGTATATCACTACAATTCGAATAATTGAATCTTATTCTATAAGTCATGATGACATAAGGGATACTGAACGATATAGACTTTGGCATGATCGACTAGGGCATCCTAGTCATCCTGGTCGTGACATGATGATTCGTATCCTAAAAAACTCTCACGGTCATCCTTTCTTTCGAGGCAAGGACAAAGCAACACAAAAACCCGACATCTTGAAAAGCGGTCGGCCCAATCTTGCCCAACTGCGACAAATGACTTCTAAAGAAATTGAAGCATCGTCCTCGTCTCAAAATAATTTTTTGACAATGTCACATGCCCACAAATCCTTTTGTAAAGCCTGCTCATTAGCAAAAATAGGATCACGACCATCCTATGCTAAATATTCAAAAGAAAATATACCATTCCTACAACGGATACAAGGAGATATATGTGGGCCGATACAACCATAAAGCGGACCATTTCGGTATTTTATGGTACTGGTTGATGCCTCGACACGTTGGTCACACGTTACATTATTATCAACAAGAAATGCTGCATTTGCAAAACTCTTGGCACAAATAATTCGTTTAAGGGCTCACCACCCTGACCACCCGATCAAGTCTATAAGACTTGACAATGCTGCAGAGTTTACATCTAAGAACTTTGATGATTATTGCATGGC